TGATATATAATAAAATATATTATATATTATATATTATACAGAAAAGTATATTATATATTATACAATAAAATAAATACATATATCATATATAACGTAATGTAATATTTAATATAGTGTATTTTATATTTATTTTATTGATATATATTTGTATTATATAAGATATATTATATAATGAATTATTTTATTAATCTTTATTTTTATTATAAAATATACATAAAATAATATATATATATATATATATACATGTTATATATGGGGGCATTCATCAAAAAAAAGTTTCAAGTTTAAGTTTCAACCCTTGGGTTGGAACTTTTTTTTTAAAGCAAGATTGGAACTTGAATAGTTCCTTGAAGTTTTGTTTGAAGTTCAATTTTGTTATCAAACACGAAACTTGAACAGTATTAAAAAGTTCTAAACTTTTAGAAAGACACTTCCTGTTATCAAACACGCCTTTAAGGTAGATATTTGAAAGAAAGGTCATTCGGACAAGAGCATTGACTGATGTAGCAAAACTAGTCCAATTTATCTTGACCAGGCATTTCGACTCGCCCTACTCTATCCTTATTTAAGTCTATCTCCAACCATTTTCTCAAAGCTCTTGTGATGCTTACATGCCTATTCATTATCGGTTTGATTCTTTTGGACAACTAGGTGTTGGAAACCTGGAAAGTTTTGGCATCTAGAACCCATCAAACCTATATAAATAAATTAAAAATAAAATGACCAAAACACCTCTTGAAATGTTATAATATAATGTAAACAAGAACAAAGGGTTATATGGTTTCTTCATATCTTTTGGCTAAAAATCTACAGGGCTACCTCTAAGCTTCAATCTCTGTCTGCCATGTATACCGAGAGGTCAATGATGTAGCTGATCGATTAACCAAATATGAAAGTTCCTTGTACTCTGTGTCTGATTCCAATGTCTTGATTCCAAAGTTGTAACCTGATGCTTTTAAAAAACCCTATCAATAAAAGTTCTTAATCTTGTCAAAAAAAAACACCTCTTGAAATGTTTTGGCCATTCTGGTCTTCTTTTTTTTAATTTATTTTTATATATTTTTGTTAGATGTGCTCCTATGAGACGGACTCACCCACAAAAAGTTGATCTAAAAAAATAGAAATAAAAAATGAGCATCGATCATCCTCCAACAAGAAGTGTGCCCTTCTTAAGAAGCCCAGGCTTCTATGGGGCTTTTGGCTTTTGGTCTTGAAACTTCCGATTGCTAAACACGCTTTTATAACCTAGGAAATGGGCTGAGGTCGCGGTAATATTACCTTGGATGACCCAAAAAGAGTTCTCCACACCCATTCCTACACGGGTAGGGCCTCCAATCCTCAGTGGATTACCCAAAAAAAAAAGCGTTCATATAACAATCTGAATTCATAGATTACACCCTTCTGAAATATAGATAAACTGTTTCTTTCAGCCTACCTTTGTAACCACCAAACTTCTGCAGCAAATGCAAGTGAAATGACTCCAATTTGTTCTTCATAAGGTTTCTTTTTCTTGCCACATTCTAAGAAGGATTTTTTACTCACTAAAAACCGGTTCCAAGAAAGATTTTCTACCCACTAAAAACCGGTTTTCCTTTTTTTTTCTGCTGCAACAACTTAGATATGATTTGTGCAATAGGTTCAGACCCTGGCTTTGTGATTTGTACATAAGAAACGGGATTTTCATCATAGCCATCACAGCGAACTTATCATTTCTAGGTGTTTCACAATGGGCTTCAAACATGGGTCACCATTTGAGTGTCGTTTAGATCATTGACAAAATATCCTGGACCTAAATTCCTCAGTTTAGACTATTTGGCTAGGGTTCCTTCCCCATTTAATCAAATTCTACTACATTTATTCTCTCTTATAGTTGCATACTGTTGGGTTTACTCTTCCTCTCCCTCTCCCTCTCCCTCTCCCTCCCCCTCTCCCTGCCACTCAAATAATCTGAAGATAGAATATTTCCTATTTCTCATATAATCAACACTCTCTCTCTCTACGATAAAACTTTTTATTTTTGGTACAAGAAAATCACAATTACTTGATCATTACTAGGCCGTGTAACAACTAAATTGATGAGTACATGTCCTCAAGCAAGCCAACCATACAAATCATGAAAAAAGAGAAAAAGAATAAGAGAAACAACAAACTCTTCTACAGAAAATGAAAAGCAACAAAGTAAACTGCTATACCAGCAGTCCTTACGACAAAATAAGAAAATGATAAGAAGGAATTGAGCATTATTGATCCTAAGTAAATATCATAATCCAAGACAGTTATTTAAAAGCAAGATCGATTTTTTTATATAATAAAAAGTTTTGAAATTGTGAATGCCTCTGCCAACACCATTATAATCCCATTTCCATTGCACAATTACAATCCCAATTCCATTATTACAACAATTACAATTACAATTACAATCTCATTTCCATTATTACAAATATAACTATATCATGCACTCATAAAAGAAAAAAATTGAACAAAAAAAAAAAAGAAGCAAAAGTAAGAACGACATTATCATACACTTATTTTTTTGTTTGTTAGAAAAAAATATATAAGATTTAAAAAATATTTTTTTGTCATATTCATGAAAAAACGTATTTTTATCATAAAAACATAATTTTATCAAAAAAAATATAATTTTAGTAAGCAAAATAAAAAAAACACTTCCCATATTCATCATTAATTGTTTTTCATTAACTTAATAAGATTAAGTTAAATTAATTTAAAAAAAAAAAAACGGTTTCTCAAAAACCCCTAAAATTGAGCAACATTTCAAGCAAAAACGACCCTTAATGTTCGAAAAATCGAACAAATAAATACAAAAGCTTTGTAAAGGCTTCCATCATCTTTTAAACGTACCAAATCTAATAAAAAAATATTTGGTATTTTTTATTTAATTTAAAAAATCGCAGAAAATTTAGAACTATGAAAATTTCATGGCATGAAGCAAGAAATAAATTCATATAAAAATATTTACTCAATTATAAATCAACTTGCATATTTTATATGACAGATGAAGCCTTGATGATCAAAATCCATAAATCAATTTGATAAAAAAAACCAGTAAATTGATCCAAAATCTGTTTTTTGTATCGAACACAAGTTCTCAAGCAGCAAATTTTGAGGTCAAAATCAACCCCAAATATCTTGTTTTTTGAACAAATTGAAATATGGATATGCTAACCAATTCGATTGTGATTCAAAACCCTAAACTTTCATCAATAATCTTTACCTATTAAAGATGAAATTAATGAAATAGCATATCAAAGTAAGGTTCTTTGAGTAGCTCGAAAACATGTTCTTCGAGCAGCTTGAACGTAGGTTCTTCAAGCAGCTCGAGCACATGTTCTTCCAACAACTCAAACATAATTTCTTCGAGCAAATTTTCGGGCCAAAATCGACCCCCCTATATCTTGTTTTTTGAACAAATTGAAATAGGGATATCATAACCAATTCGATTATGATTCAAAAATCACAAATTTCATCAATAATTGTTACCTATTGACCTATTGAAGAATAAATTGATGAAATGGCAGAAATTTGAGAAGGTTGGAAAATCTGCCACTTCAATCTACAAGAATTATTATTTTTTTTATCTTTGATTATAATTTTGTTGTTTTATAGACATTCAGTAATGGTTTACAACACTAAATCACCAAAAAGGCCAAAAAAATGACAAGAAAATAGAATAAAAAAAAGCAAGAAAATTTGATTCACAGGTCCTGCTGCAAATAACATGCTTCATTTCAAAAAACAGCAGTAATTTTGTTTTACCCGTTTTTGTCAAAAAAAAAAAAAATGCCGTTTTAGCATAAAACCGGTCCAATTGATCAAAACCGACCGGTTAGACATAAATACGGCCGGTTCGACCCCTAACTGGACGGGTGGTCCGGATATTATATGGGGTAATACCCTAGTTCCTTAGAACCCCAAAACTGCCCCTAACCAGACTCGAAACTCTAATGGTTATGAGCTAATCGGACGGTTCCAATTCTAACTCGCCGATTTTTCTAATAGTTAGTGGCAACTAAGTGCTTTAAAATATTCCCACATATCAAAGAATTTGTTCATGAATCAAATTTGCAATACGTTTTATACTAGTTTCAAGGATTTGAAACGCGGCCTTTGATGGTTTAAAAGGAAGTTTTAATGAAAAAGTTTATATGGAGCCGAGGCTCTAAACAATCAAATTAGAGCCTATCTTAAAACTTTCATTAAAATAGGTTTTTTTTATGCTCAAATATCTTCAAATTTATCATCTTGACAAAAAGATACATGAACATGAGAAAAAAATGGATTTCAAGTTTTGTAAATAATGTATCTTGCAACGCATTTTTGGACCGTCAACTTTCAAGATTTTCAAATTTTTATAGATCTGCTCAATCTACACTATTTTTGAAACTTTATATTTTATAATTAAATATTAAAATATATTTTAAAGCTATCACAAAGATTTTTAATATTAAAACCACATTTCTAATTACTATTTGAAGATGCGCGTTACTTTGATTGTTTAGAGCCTCGGCCCTACACAAACAGCACCCTTTTGAAAAATATGGGTTGGCCAGTCCTTTCTTCCTCTCTTTCTCCTTCTCTGTAATTATAATTTGGAGGTTGCCTCCTTTATTAATGAAAAATTACTGTTAACATTAAAAATACAAAAAACTAAAAGACAGTCAAGACCTACCTTTGACCTTATTGGTCTGGGGAGCATGTTGAGGTGTGCTAGTGTATGCTATTTCCTAAAGTCTTTGCGAAAACCATAGTCTAACGGGCATCACAGTCCATTACTATCATGGATGGCAATGGAGGAAGAACAAGACGCACTAGAACATGATATGACCCGAGTCTCGCCATCATCGTCCATCATATCCATGGACAATGTCGACACTGAGGGCTAGGATTTAACCAGCCTCTAGGAGTATAATATATTTTTCTTTTTTGGCAAATTATGTTTGCAGCATACTTTCTAATATAAAATGTAACACTCGTGGATAAGATGTAAAACTCTTGGAGCTCTAATAAACAAATTAAGTTTGAACCCATGCTGGTGGCTAAAAGACAAGCAAGGCACTTCAACAAAAGAAAGAATACAATTAGCATATTTCTCATTTCAATTCTGCAAAATACAGAAGAAATGTGACTAACATATAAATATAACAAATGTAATTAACAATTATACAAACTAAATTACAATACTTACAAAATGAAACTCAACTCTTAGAATTTCTCAAAAAGTCTATTTTCTAGGATAGGAACATCTGACCTCTTTATGTCACAGTTTAAGCAATGGGATTTCTTTCCTCATCAACTTCCACAACAAGTGTGTGCTTTGGGTCAGCACCATTCGGTCCTTCAGCATAAAGAGTGGGTAGATATGCCCTGTATGCTGGCATATAACGAGACACGAAATCCTGAACCTGTTGAATGGTTCAAATTCGCAACTTCAGATAAAAACCATGCATACATTTACAAATACATGATACATGATGCATCAATTTCACTGTGTGCACGTGTGAATCAATTTTAAGTTTTCAATGCCAAGGGAGACAGTCCCTAGAAGGCTATAACTGAAAATTGGCAATTTTAAATATTTACCATGAGACACTTGATCTTTGGAGAACCTCAGAGGAGTGACACCAATGTTAGAAAACCAATTACAAAAGTAACCAAAGATACACCATCAATCGAAATTTTGGTTGAAGAGAAAATGTACCATCAGTCAAAATTGGCCATAAAAGATGATGAAAGAAATATCATCAGCCATCTACCCAGAAGAAAAAAAGTGATATCCATAATCGTAAAAAAAGGTGATATCCATCAATTGGACTCTCTCTCTCTCTCTCTCTCTCTCTCTCTCTCTCTCTCTCTCTCTCTCTCTCTACTACTAACT